TTATTGTACTCAGGGGCACAAGGGTCTTTTCCCTTGTTATTTCTGTCGCCCTATATATAGTAAAATAAACACTGGCGCCGCCAGTACTGTTACATTGCAAACCTTCTCTCTTCTCTCCTATCTTCTCTTCTCTTCTTCTTCTCTTCTCTTCTCTCCTCTTCCACTTATCTCTGGCCGGCTACACTGTCAAGAAGCCACAACAGTTCAGAGACTCCATGTGCCATGGCCCTGTATTCTGCTTCTGCTGAGGATCGAGCCACAACTGATTGTTTCTTACTCCTCCAAGAAACAACATTACCAGCCACCAAACTGCAATACCCTGAAGTAGATCTTCTATCATCAATGTTTCCAGCCCAGCCAACATCAATATAAGCTTCAAGTTTCATATGACCATGCTTGGCAAACAAAATTCCCTTTCCCGAAGAGCCTTTCAAATAACACAGAATTCGTTTTGCGGCTGCCATATGAGTATCTCTGGGAGCATGCATGAACTGGCTAATACAACTGACAGCATATGCAATATCTGGCCGAGTCATGCACAGGTACAGGACTTTCCCAAGAAGTCCCTGAAAGACCCCTTTGTCTTCTAACAACGTCCCATCTGAAGCAGAAAGTTTGTGACTCATATCAATAGGAGTAGCAATTGGTCTAGCACCCATCTTCCTAGTTTCAGAAAGCAAGTCAAGGACAAACTTCCTTTGGGAGATAAGGATCCCATCCTTGGATCTAGCAACTTCTATGCCAAGGAAGTATCTCAACTCCCCCAGGTCCTTAATCTCAAATTTTGTACGGAGGAAAGACTTAAGAGCATGAATTCCTGAAGCATCATTACCAATCACAACAATATCGTCAACATACACAATGAGATATACTGCTAGAGATCCACTGCTCTTCACAAAAAGAGTATGATCAGACTGTGTCTGAACATAGCCGAAGTTAACAAGTGTTGTTCTAAATCTCTCAAACCATGCTCTAGGAGTCTGTTTGAGGCCATAAAAGGATTTGTTCAATCTGCATACTTTTCCTTGCATATCATTTCCATACATTCCTGGAGGAAGAGACATATAAACCTCCTCATGTAAGTCACCATTCAGAAATGCATTCTTTACATCCAATTGATAAAGGGGCCAATCAAAGTGAGCTGCCAGAGATAAGAGAACCCTCACAGATGTCATCTTAGCAACAGGTGCAAAGGTCTCCAGATAATCAATCCCATACGTCTGTGTRTAGCCTTTTGCAACTAGCCTGGCCTTGTACCTCTCAATGGTCCCATCAGCCTGATATTTAATGGTAAATACCCACTTGCAACCAACTGGATCCTTCCCTTTAGGCAAATCCACCACTTCCCAAGTGTCATTTTTGTGTAGGGCATCCATTTCAGATTTCATGGCATCCCTCCATTCTGGAATCTCAAGGGGTCTTAAGATTACCTGAAGTGGTTGCATGATTAGCAGAAGCTCTTATACCTGAGTGAGCAAATGCAGAAGTGGATGAACTTCCTGAAAGGTTGGAAGATGAAGTTACACCTTCGAGATGACTGATCATCTTTCCAAACTTTTCATACTCAACTTTCATGGCCGCCAATTGTGCACAGGCAGACTCAACTTCAGTATCTGGACCAATGGCTACATTTGCACTCCCTGTCCTTCTACTATCATGTTTCTTCTGGAATCGAATAGGAACAAGACCGGGATGTAATTCCCAGCACTTGTCTTTGGTGTGCTTTGGCTTCTTGCAGTATTCACATATAGCTTCTTTCTTTCTAGAGCCACTAGGAGCCCCCACAACTCCTTTGGGTTTAACCCCCATATTTGCAAAGTGATCACTAGTGCCAACCCTTTGAACCTGTACCAAACTTCTGCTTTCTTCACTACTAACCAAAACATACGCTTGTGATAATAAGACAATTTCCTTGGATAAAATATTTTGTTTTGTAATGTCATATTCTGGGTTTAGTCCAATTAGGAACTCAAACACCCTGTTTCTTTCAACTAATTTCCTGTAGGTTTCTGCATCATTGGTAGTGTCTCAAGTTACAGCTTCTATTAGATCAATTTCTTGCCACAAAAACTTCAAGGTTGAGAAGTATATCGCAAGGGATTTCTCCCCCTATCTCAAATTCTTCACATCACTTCTCAATTTATAGGCTTTGGCTACATTTAGTTTCTGGGAATAGGTTTTTGCAACACTATCCCAGATTTCCTTTGCTGAGTTCATCCATAGATAATGTTGACTAATCTGTGGCTGCATTGAATTCACAAGCCACCCAATAACGATGTAATTCTCTTGAATCCATTTCTCATAAGAGGAATCATCCACTAGGGTAGCCTTCTTGCTCCCGGAGATAAACCCCCACTTTCCTCTACTACATATATAAATTTTCATAGATTGTGACCATGCCAGATAGTTGGTTCCATCCAGTTTAACCGTGGTCACAATCAACAAAGAATCAGTTGGGGTTCCCAAAGCATGTCCATATTCAGCAACATTCTTACTCTCAATATCTAAGGAGTCTATCATGTAAATGCTTCAAATAGGGTTTCAATCTACTTCTACTAGTGTACTGAATGTGGATGAACTCATATTGGGTTAAATCAGCCTCAAACACAGCAACTCACAAGGCCAACTCACACCCGACAGCCATGAGAACCAAGCTCGGTAACAGCTCTTTCAAGAAGAAGATGGCTTGATCCAGCCTTCAAGAGGTAACCGACAGACCTCCAAACACTGTGTACCCGATTGGAGTACCTTTCTAGTTAGGAATTCTAGGTTCCCAACAATAAGTGCCCTAAAGAGAGCAAAACACAATCCGCAGTAATTAAAGGGGCCTTTTTACGAACACTGTGTATGCAGCAGAGAATACCCCACTGTCACCAAGTAAGAACCACCTCAGGAGCAGTCCGTATAGGTCCAAGAAGCAACTAAACTGAAGTAAGAACTTGCACCACTGAGTCCAAAGAGGTTTCGGCAACTTGACAGTCCAACAGGGTAAGAAAACAACCCAGAAATCTCTGAGTTAAATCAAGTTAACCACAGCCGAACAACTGAACAAATTTAAAAGGGTTTCGAACACTTCAACAGTCCCGAAAACCAGAAATATAACCCAAGGATAACTGAATGCAACTTATAGTCTTATCAATCTCTGATTTGAGCTCCAAATCAGGCCGAATAGTCCTCTCTGATTCTTCCTGGTCACCGAACCACTCTCCAAGTGATTAGAGTCTTGGGCACCCTCCAATGACCTCCAAGAATCAGGCGAACAAGTTGAAACTTCTAGCCTTAGAACACCCTCATGTAGTCGGCTGGACTATACCCACATGAGAGCCACGCCAAGTTCAGGCCTGCTTTGATACCAAGTTGAAAAACAGCCCTTCAAAGTATGGAACTGTATAGGATTAGATGGAAAAATCAAAAGAAGTAAAACAGCTGAAAAGATTGGTAGAAGATGAAGAGAGAGCTGGCGGCAAAGAAGGTTAGAGAATGAGAGGTTCGAACTAACTCTCCCTCTAACACTCTAACACTATTTCATTAAGTTAATTTTTGAATAATTAAAGGGAGGCCCTTGGTTGGGCAAGAAATTACAAAAAAACATAGCATAGAAGAGGATGGGCCCAGAATAAGGCCCATTACAGAAAAGAACATAAATAACATAGAATAACAGCCTATGAGCCATTCGGCCCATCTTCTCTACAGCAACCATAAAATATGGTTCTAATTTCCTACAAAACAACTGACAGAGAGTAAATGGAGTACATGCACTCTGTCATAATACAAGGAATAGACATACTTATAGCACTCTCTTGCCTCTGAATGTTCATAAAGAATACAAACCATTCATTTGACATAACATTATATCTCCCAAAGCTAAATTTTCCTATAGAAAATAAATACTAAAATAGGTTAAAAAAATTCCATAAAAGCTTGATTCCTTCCATTTATTTTGTGCTGATTTTATATCTTAATTGATAGTAAACATATAAAAGACAACTATGAGGTCCTTAAAGTAGAAAGTCCATTCCAAGATAAGATAACTATAAAAGATACCTGTGGTATGCCATCTAGAGGCAGAATGGGGATTGATTGCTTTGGATTTGGAAAGGCAAACTTCAGCATCCCGCCACTGTGACAAGCTTATGTAGACATGAGCCAGATCATGCCATGTTTCCATTTCCAAACTTCTATCACGATCTCTGTTTTTCTGTCAAGTATTCAATAAAAAAAACATTTTGAGTGAACTAAGGCTATAGCAGAAATTTTGAATATAGTATAAGTTTCCATAAAAGGACAAAAGATCGTGTAGAAATGTCATGCAGTCCATAAAGAGAAAGAGAGAGAATGAAAAAATTGTATCTAAAATCCTTAAATGTTAACATTTTTGTTCTGAACATCCAAATTAGCTGACAATGGTATCACTCACAGTAAGTAAAACATGTTGCTTTCTGGTTAAACACTGACTCAATTGCATTAGTATAAGTTCCCCATTTCTCATGCTGTTGTCTATAGGAGACAATTCAAATGGAACACACCTTCAGAAGCTTCTTGGAAACTCCAAAGCTTTTACTCTGAACTTGAAGAACAGCCAGAAGATGGGTATAGGTCTCAACAGCATTCTTTAACTGGCCCTGTGCAATCTGAAGTTTAGCCTTTGTCCGTAACAACTCTCCCTGATCCCACCTCCCAGTCTGATCAAGAGCAGCATTGATGATAGTCTCAGCATCCCCAAACCGTTTTTGAGCAGATAATATGCGAGCCAACAGGATCCACCCTTTAACATTAGATCCAGCTTCCAATTTCAGCAACTGCTTTGCATAATTAAGTGCAACATCTAACTTTCTCTGCTCAGCGTTTTCTAAGCTCAGATAGAATATAACTCTAGGTTCTCTTTCTCTCATTTCTTTCTCAGCAGCTTCTAGGGCTTCAAGTGCCTTGGCCTGTCTTATGCTCCTATCATAATCAGATCCAGATGATCTGGCCTGAGCTGATAGTGAGACACCTAGTAAGTAATTGGTGACACTTCCCATCTGATTGCATTCCCCCTGCAGGGGAGCAATTGCTCTACAAGCAAAAGCTTCTCCTTCCTGAGGCAGGTTAAGGTTTTCCACGCAAATCTTTGAAGCTAGTAATAATGCTGCCATGGAATTTGGATTCTCTCTGCTAGTCAACAGTTTCCTCAGTAGATTCAGAGCAACCACATTTTCACCTTCAGCATGGTAACACAGAGCTAGGGTGTAATATCTTTCTTTCCTATCCATACTCCCAGGAAGCGATTCCTCAATCTGATTGGCCAAGGCTCTTAGTTCTCCTGACACAGAGAGAGCAAATGATAGGTGGTCCATAATTGATGGATCCCACTCAATCCTTTTAAGAGCAAATTTTCTTAATAGGATGAATAACAAAAGAATGGCCTCTTCTATATTGTTCCTTGGTACAAAGGAACCTTCCATTTGGGAACGAAGATCTGGGGGGCTTGCATCATAACCACCATAGAGAAGAAAAATGGCAAAGTCTTTCTGTATCTTTGCAGTGGTCTCTGCATCAAGGCTCCAATGATGAAGGAGGGCATGCCTATATGACAAAATAGCTTCATGAGGAAAGCCAGCAAGTTTCCATAATTCTGGAAGTAGCTCAACAGCCCTGTTTAGAGTCTCTTGCAATTTACAGTCAGTACCCATGTTTTCAGGAAAGCCTTCGGGTAATGCAGATTCAACAGTGTCCAGAATAATTTTGCATGATTGAGCAGCTTCTGCAAAAGAAAGAAAAATTGGAAAAAGATTGGTCATGCAATGCTAGTTAAGAAAGTAGGTATCATAACTTGGAAGCTTTCTTCTTTGAAAGATCTAACAGTTGGTAGAACTGTAGAAGTTATGATTCTAATATTTTCCTTTAAACTGATGTCCATAATCCATAGATACAAAATTTCTGGGTTGGCTGAAAAACCAATACCTACAAGTGTTACCAGTTCAATGACCAAACCTCAGGATTAAAATGAAAATTACTTCATGAAAACTTATTGGTGAGCTGGTTTGAAAAATATGGATTCTTACATACGCAAAACTCAAGGTAAACATGGAAGTCAGTGTATAAAATTGTTTAACTTTAAAAAGCAAAACAGACTAGAATAAGATCCTTTCTCAAATGGAAAGAAATTAGAAAAAAAAAAAAAAACTTCTTTATGCAGGTCAAGGAAATCATAACTGAAAAACATAACAATATATTGAAAATGGGAAGGAGAACATAGAAGGCAAATAAACCCAAAAATGGATCAGAATACATAAAGCAGGTTATGATTTTATAACAAAGACTACCTTGAAACCTTCCAAGGTCCTGCAATGATTTTGCTTTCAGAAAAATTGCTTCAAATAGCAAACTGACAGCATGCATGGGCATGGGTGGAGAAACATCACTTTGGGAATGACGCCTTCGGCGCTCTTTTCTTTGAGCAATGGAGAATTTTATCCTTTGTGTCACAGCAGCAATGTCTATTCCTTCAAATACATGAAGTGCAGCTTGGACATTTCCTCTTTGATACTCGAGCCTTCCTAGCAATGCTCTTGCTTCCTACAATATTGTAAAGGTCTCTGAAGTTTACAACCATAAAGCTTTGAGCAAACCACTTATTGATTGAATGATGAAGAAAATTGCCCATAACACATAATAACAATAAAAGAAACTTAAAACTTTGACAACTGGCATATTTCTATCATATTGACAACAAAGAAAGGGATCAAAGTTCCTGTGGGATGGCCTTTCTTTTAAAAATAATTAACCTATCAATATCTATAGAATCATCTATTGGAAATGATGTTGCAGAGTTGGCTAGGAGAAGGCATCAATCAAGCTTAGACTTTTTAGACAGTAATGCCTAGATTTTTGGGTTTTGAATAGTCTCCTTCTGACTGAGAGAAACTTTCAGTTTTTGTATCACAGAGTAGTCTTAAATTTCTTCTTTCTTGTATATTCTCTTTTCTAATAAAAATTTATGCTGAAGAATTAAAGACCTAACAACCTCATTAACAAATTCATGCCCACTGTGAATTTTGTCTCTGTAATAATAGTGCATCAGTGAAGGAAAGAGGCCAGTATAAGAAACCATCTATGTGAATGAATTATTAGAAAAAGTGAATTCAGCCAAGATATAAGGTTAGTCAATTAATAATTTAACTGGTTAAATGAATCATGGAAAGAAAAATAATCCACAATGTCCCATTTGAAGAAAGAAATGTCATCTAAAGTTTCACATGATACAAATCCTCATTGCTTAAAAAAAGCTCCTGTTTGGCATGATGCTGTGGCCAAGGGAATCTGTTGTCAATGATATAAGCAGGCACAGATATTCATCATAAATCCATGGCATCACCTTTATGAGAAGAAAACTTTCTTGCAGAAGTACTCCAAGCTGAACCTTACTGCATACCTTGTTGGTTAACAGGCAACTATGCTCCCATGCAATTCTCAAATATCAGAGTTGGTTACAAATCATTACGAAAGGCAAGCATCCATGTACAAGAGACCAAAGCCAAAAAGTGTAGCACAGTAGCAGAGCCTCGAAGCCAGGGAGTTAGAGAAACCAACCTCATAATTCAGGCAACCACTTTCACGGAGAGATGATTCAGCTTCTTCAATGTTTCCAGTATCTGGCTTCTGCTCACTTTCACCTGCTTTAGAAGAATACCCACTTGCTGAATAGTCCCTTGTTGCCAGGGACTCGGAAGAAGGAACCATTTCATCTGCTCTTAACTGCTCTCCGGAACAAAGGCACTTCATTATCTTCCCCAACCTCAGTTCAGTACAAATTCTTAGCCGTTTCATCCATTTCTTTGCTCTCATACTGTTCCACTACACATAAAGGTCTTTGCAACAGCATCACACACAAAAGAAAAATATTAGAATTCTGTATCAACAGTCTAAGCACATTGGTTGGTACTAGGATTGACAAAATCTAACATCCCCAACCAGCGAATTCTTCGAAAAAAAAGAAGAAAGGAAAAAATTCAAGTATGTTTCTATCCAGCATGAAGAAAAACTAGCTTTGGTCACCAAATCAGTTCGAATTCAAATTAAACCATAAGTGTAATTAAAGAAAGAAGGAAAGAAAACTGCAAAGAGCAGGTTCCCAATGCAGCCACTAAGAAATAAAACCCATAACTCCATTTTTTTATTTTCTTTCATATAAAAGCTCAAACACAAAACCCTAAAATCCAGAATTGAGGACTGCAACTGCAAACTACCTTCGAAAGCGGAAAAGAAAGAAACCGACCAACATTTCTACAGTGTCAGTTAAGAAAGCTACAAAAAATATCGAAATTCAATCCTTCAAATCCTTGTAGGCCATACTCATAATAACCAGAGAAACACACTAAAGCCTTCAGATAATGAAACATTACATACAGAGAAACCTAGAAGCCCACAAAATTTCCTCCAAACCCAGACAAACTCAACATTCCCAAGTAACAATTTCCTTCAAAGCAACTTCATTAAAATGATTTTGGAACCTAAATTCAAGGAAAAAAAAAAAAACATACGCATTATATGATCTTTTTAGAGCAACCAAAAGGGATCAAATTACTCTCAAAGGACTTACCTTTTGCTCCAGAAAAGCAGACACCGAGCCCACCCAACATCAACACCACCACCACCCATCTCTCCTCCAATTCCTGCAAAAGAAATGCCTCTTTTGATTTCCTTGATTTATTAACTAGGAATCCAAAGCTCCAAGACCTCTTTCTCTTTTGTGTCTATAGCGTTTCTTTCTCCTTTTACAGTTCAACTGTTAAGGCCTGTGTAAGTTATTAAGGAGTGATGCTCAGAATTTTCATTCAGCGGTGTGAAAGAGGCGAGAGATTTTGGCTGAAACAAAGTTGAAAACCAGTGGGACCAGAAAAATATGGTGGGCCCTGTTTGAAATTTACTACGCGGCTATGGCTGGCAAGTTGCCACGTGGCAATGTTGACAAACAATATTTGCTGTGCTTGAGACGGTTGTTGCAGAAAATAGTACTTTTTGTTGAGTCCGGAGCTTGTTAGTGAAATGCATTTGTACCCGAAAATGGCTGTCCTTTTTCCAATCAGAAGTCTTCAGGACGATTGTGATGGTCGGGTTAATGGAAGGTAGAGCTGTCAATGGATCGGGTTTACCTGATAGAACCGGATCGGTCGAACCAATTATGGCAGTTGTGATTAGGGGTGCAAGTGGGATAGGCTGGGCCGGGTTTAAGCTCAACCCAGGCCCAACCCTAAGAATTGGACTTAAAGCTTAAGTCCAGTTCTAATCCAAAACCAAGCCCAAACTGTCCGACCTAGCCCGGTCTGAACTGAAATTTGCTGCATTTGGATAGGACTTGGGCCTGGCCGGCTGGCCGGGAATGGTTTGGTACTGATTCTTCCTGTCCCAAATGGGACCTAACCCATCGAAAGGTCACCCGGTTAGTAGTTTCAGTAAACGATAAAGGAAGCCAGACCGTGGAGAATACTGGTCTGGTTGGTTCAGGTAGAAACGTTGTGAGCAGCCCAGTGATGGATTGGTTTTGAATGTTGATCAGCCCAACCAACCGGATCCATAATGAGGTATTCAACCCAGCGGGTATGGGGTGATGGGCCAAATGAGTTAATAGTTTTCACATGACATGTAAAAGGTCAAGCTTTGCAGGCCCATTATTGCAACGTCCATCAAGGCTCCAGTTCTGCTTCTGTCACAGACTCACAGTACAACCATGGAAGATGAGCATTTATTAAAAAACATAAATAGAGGTTTGACTTGAAAGAAAAAAAAAAAAAAACTCTTATTGTGGGATATGATATATGACCAGTGGATTTGATCTTTGATCTATTGTTAAAATGAGGGACATTCAAAAAAAAAATTTCGTTAAAAAGCGGGAGCGATTAGATTTAGGATCAGTTTGGTTCAAAAGGAACAGGGGGGTTTTCAGAGACGGGATCTGCTCCTGAGAAATGGAATGCATGGTAAGATGTGCGTGTGAGACGCCAGGTGTGAAGAGTAGATCCGATCTGATTTCCATTCTTGGTGGAATGGTATTGGATATGGCCATTCCCTTCCTCTCTCGAATTCCATTGCAGTCTAACAAAAAGGCAGCGGAATAGACCATTCTCATTCTTATTTCTTATTTGAATGGATTCGCAAGTGATGTAAAACATGGTTTTCGAACCGGCCTGGACGGTCGGACCGTTTGGCCTGGGAACCGTTCAAGCAATCGATTTTGTTTTACTTCAAACCTGATTTTTGGCTAAAATCCATTGAATCGGTCAATAACCTATTGATTCAGGCAATTGAACCGTCAATCCGTTCAATGATTTTTGACAGTTTTTTATTTTTTTTAATTTTTATTGTTAGAATGAGCTATCCATTCAAACCGGAATGATTCAATTTCCGGGTCGTTTTTTAAAACCATGATGTAAAAATGATGCCGATCAATGCTATTCTTTCTTACTATGCAAAAATCCTGATAACAATATATACGTCATTAGATTGTCCCCTTGGATCACAAGGAAAAAAAAAATTGAAAAGCATGTATTCAAATGAAAGAGGAATAGTATGCCTTCATGTATTTCTATTAGAAACTGAGATAAAGTTTTACATATGGTGTTTGTTGTGGAAGCAAATTGCTGGCTGTTTTTATTTTGAGAATTTTCACATGAGTTAACTTAGTATCTTTTTTCATTTTCTTTCTTCTTCTTTTTTTTTATTTTCTATTTTTAACTCCTCGACATTAATTTAATTATAACAGGTTTGGTTTGGTTTCTATTCTAATTTAGTTTTCTGATTTAATTGACATGTTCATTTAACTGAAATTACTGGATTTATACTTTTTTTAATTCCCATTGTTTGTAACTTACGATTTAATTACAAATGATAATCAACGATTATAGACCCCAAGTGACTTTTTTATTACACCCCATAATAATCCAAACACAGCCTTGGGGTCATTCTTTCTATTAGGATTTACATTTATTTGCTAGGGTATTCATTTTGTTATTTCTTTGATTTTAGTGGCAGATTTTGCTTTGGGTGCTTTTGGTAGCACCGAATTTAGTTTCTCAAACACTATGAGTTTGTTTATCGTTAATTTAGTTGTTTAAAATTAGTAGAAGATTTTAAGGAATTCCTCTCTTGCAATTAGGAAAAGGAGGAAACTGTATAAACTGACTTAATTGAGGCACTAGAAACCCCAAACTTAACTTATATGGTGCTTTCTTTTGTAAGTTGCCAACCCACATGGACTAAATAAACAATGGATCTCCCCTCTTCTTCCTTATTTCTCTGAATAGTTTTATTCTTAAAATTTTAATTTATTTTTAATGAATAAACTTATTCATATATGTTTTGGCTCCATTTGATCTGATTAAAATCCAAAAATGATTATATTGTATTATAATATTTATTGATTTCAATATATAAAATCTATAAAATTATATTTAAAATTATAAATATATATGTATATATTATATATTTTTTTATATTATCTATATATTATAAACAAATATATATTGGACCGAATTCGAATTTGATTATATTATATTATAATATTTATTGATTTTAATATATAAAATCCATATAATTACATTTAAAATTATAAAAAAAAATATTCTTATATATTATATTATATACATATGTACATTTATAATAAATTTTAGTATGTTATATTTACATTAATTTATTATATATAATAGTTGAAAAATAATTAACTTGTTTATTTTTTGTATTTTACAAAACTAAAGTGGGGTCAAATTGTATTTCACTCTCTATAGAGCAAATCTTTATAATTTCAGGTTTGCCCTTGCGAAGCAAAGCCCCCCCTGCTAGTGATATTAGGGTTCGACGATAATGACACTAGAAAGACATGATGTCGGAAAAGCATACAGCCAATCAACCAGTAAAAATAAAAAAAAAAAAGGATGACCAATTGGGGGTATTTATTAATTCACGGTGTGCTTTGATTGATCAAAACTCTTTTGGTACCATGTCTTTAGGGTATCATAGATTTTCCGTATAAATTAGTATGTAAGACCTTTTTTAGGGTCAAAAGGAGGAAAGAAAGAGGAAAGTGTGGATTAGATATTGGCATGGTGGTGTGGACATCAAGCCAAAGCAAGTATTGTCACTGTAAAGTAAAGATGAGCAACTGCATTTTTGAGCACTTGTTGCTCAAAATTATTGAAAATATATGGAGAGAGAGAGAACACTAAAAACATTTCACATGTTTGTCGGAATGTAAAGCCAAAGCAAATATAGTAGGCAATTTTCTTCATAGATCGTTTGACTTTGACCTCATCAGACCAATATTTCAATCATTTCTTGGTCCAAAACTGGAGTGTCCACATGTGCACCACAGTTTTTCTCTTTTTTGGCATATGGGCACCTCAAAGAATTGTTATTTTCATCGTCATGATTTCAACACGACCATGTTATTTGGGTCCACCTTCAAACCATGATCCCAAAGCTTATGCTTAGTTGGGAGTTTCCTTTCAAAAGGAACCACAGAAAAAAACAATTATTTCTTAATTAGTTGGAATAGTGCAAGCACTATTCGTCTATTAATTAGAGTCCTGGTTTGTAGGGTTCATCAAATCACCAATGTTTTAAAAATCAACCCATAACTGGAATCACTTTGGGCACTGGTTTTCAGGTTAGTGGTTAGACCATCTAGTTTGAACAGACTGCTTAATTCAATTAAAAAAAATAAAAAACAGTCAAAATCATTGTTCATCGATTAGGTCAATAATTCTGCTGCCTAGGTCTATGGGTCGTTAACCAAGTCTATAGTTTTAGCCAAAAAATGGGTTAAGGGTGAAATAGAACCAGTTATCTGAACAATTCCTGGGTCAATGACGGTTTGAAAACACTGCAAATCACACTATAATCTTTGTTATGAAAATATCAAATTTCCAGACCCTAGATAAAGCATACTGTTTTTGCATGTGACCTTAATAATTGGGCAATAAAGAGCAATCTAGTGTCATGGACATTTATTGTTTCAAAGCCTTACAAATCATGAATGGGGAAATTTTGATCCGCTAATATTCCGATTTGTGTTCTATTGGACTAGAATTAGATTTGGATATATTGTATATTAGTAATAAATTATGTTAAAATGATTAAAATATTATATATTTAATAAAATGAACTAGAAATTTGATAGAGAATAAAAACCTATTGAGAGACTTCACTTAACATGGTAACAAAGCCTATTTGACCAAGTGTCTAATGTTTGATCCATTTTGCCCCATTGTAACTAATTAATTTTCAGCACAAGGTATGGGTGGGCTTGTGCTTGTCAAGGGTTTCTTGAATAAAATGACTTAATACAAAATTATCAAGTCAATTTTATCAATCATATGTTTTGTTTTAAAGAAAAGGTAGGGAAAGTTGGAAAAACCTGTCTAATAAAAAGGTTTTAATTAGGGGTGAGTAACAATCGGTAATAAACCAAAGTTTTAAATCTAAAGCCGAATCAAAACCGTAATAACCAAAATCGAAATTTTCTATTTATTTGTGGTTATT